TTAAGATTCTAATATAATATTTATGTAATGTAAACGGGCCGTCGGTGTTCCAGTTGCGACGCCGGCATCGGAGGCGCTGCGGAGGTGCCGCCGCGCTTTAACTCATACTATTTATTTTCAATGTAACTTTGTATAGATTGTAATGTTGTATTATAAAGTGAAACCAAAATGCATTTGAATTAAATAAACCTAAATACTAAAAAAAATCCCGTGACTTTTTCAATTCCTTTAGAACGCGCCTTCAGTTCGGCTGAATGTATAACTGATTGATATTGGTTTCTCTCGTATGAGTTCGGAGCTTTTTTAAAATCTGTTGCAAAAATATGACTATGATTGATGCCAATACTCATCAAAGACTTCGCGGAATCTTACTAATATTACAAATGCGAATGTTTGGATGGATGGATGTTTGTTAGAGTTTGTAGCCTAAACGGCAGAACGGATCTCCATGAAATTTGGCGTAGATGTAGAGTATGGTCTGGAAGAACACATAGGCTACTTAATTTTTATACTTGTATGTTAAAAAATGTTAAAACGTTAATCCACTTTGGCCAGAGGCATGCTGGGCAAATTGGTATTTTTGCCAAGTGTTTGTTATTATATTTATCTATTGAACTTCTTGAATCTCTCTGTGTATTTATTTATTGAATCATCGTGACCTTTTCAAAAGACATGAATATTAGTTGTAATTTGTCACATCCATCAAATAATAACAGCAGTTTTGTGAGGCTTGCCGATAGCTCTCACTATAGATTGTCTATGTAAGGTTGATTAGTTTGACTTATCAAGTATCAAACAAAATTAGTATAAAGGTAAATGCCGTACTTAATAGACGGGTATCGTAGTGACGGAACATGGACGGTTTAATCATAAGAAAATATCGAACTAAATAACCTTTTACTTATCAAATAAATGAAGTGAAAGTTCTGGTACATGAAGCGATGACAATACGAGAATATTAACGAATTTCACTTAGATTTTGTACGACTGTATCTATATACATGTAATAAAATTGGAGTGTCTGTATTGGTTATGTAATATCGTTGTTGATAAGGAAAATAAAATTTTCTGTCTGTCCGCAAGCAGAGTTTGCTCCGGGTTATCACTGAAACAGCTGGCTTTTGACGGGACTTTCACAGGAGACTTGACTCCCTGCTGAGGGCTAATTTACCTACATATAACAGCAACCTTGTCCCGCGCTCGTGTGCTCATTACGCCCACAAGTATATACTATTTGTAGAGTATAAAAGCAAATATGCTGTAGTGTATTTTTGAATCTAGGCATATCAAATTGTTGCCAGTTGTTGATGTTGCTAATTGTTGGTAGCTATTGCCGCAAATTAACGCAAACCATTTCAGGTTCAGTCCAACAATATCCAACAGACTATTTATTTATTTATGTAACTGCAAGTACACATTTGACAATCATTTCTTTAAGAGTGTAAATAACAACATACAGGTGAGAGGGGATCATTTGCGATCATTTTGACAGCTGTCAATTTCCGTTTGTTCGCCTTTCCTAGGACGTCATTATGTTTTTATTTTTAGTTTGTATGGAATAATATCCTAGTTATTATGGATTTCTCGAAAGCTAAAAAAGCGGTGATGTTTTTCAAATAATCTGCTAGTCAACTTTCATGACTATTTTATTGTTTATAAGATATTTTATTGGAAAATAATATCATTTTTTTTTAAGATAACTGGTTCTATAGCTCGCATTGTTATTCGACAGATAATTGATGTTTTTAACTTGTTAAATAATCAGTGTTTAATGGTTTTAATAAAACTGAAAAAAAAGCTACAATTGATAGTTTTTAAAATAAATTTTTGTAGTTGTAATGCTGACTTATTTTAAAAAATTCTATAAACGATGATAACTAAAAATTGGTCGACTTGGTAGGAGGTA